TTTTTTATTTAAATTTTTTGAGGATTTGACTCCCAAACCCGATGACGGGTTTGGGGAGTCAACTCCCAATACTCGGGGAATACGGGGGAATTTCGGGGGTTTTGGGGGTTTGGGAGTCAACCCTCCAACTTTTGGGAGTTGATTAACCAAGCCCCTATCATTTATTTATTCACAAACTCACAAGGTCAAAAATTTTATTGGCCTGGCTTTAAAGCTTCAGGAATCTTCAGTAAGTCTGATTTTCCCAGCCCTGAGCCTCAAAAGCACACATCTGAATCCTGGTTGACAAACCTACTTTGGTTACAAGCATATGTCCATGACTAGAAAATCAAGGTAATCTATAATGAGTATAAGTTGCAACAACAACTTTCTATGCAAGTGTCAGCCACAGAGCACATTTCACAGTACGTGAAATGTACCTAGTAACTGCAATAATAATAATTAATTGAATACTGGAAAATAGTATACATTGTTGTTAGAATAATAAATAAATAAATATGTATTTACATTTAATCTTAATTCTTAATTTATATTTAATAATTCTATAATTAACTGTGAAATCCCCTTGAGTATTGTACATATAATATCACTAGGATTTCACAGAAATATCATTAGAATAAAGTATTAAAACAATGTTTATTCTTATACATTATGTACATATTTTATAAGCCATAAATAATTACATATGTATAAAGAATCAGCTAGTAGAAGCGTGAAATGGATGAGGAATAAGCTATATACATTTATCTGAAGCTTCCCCATCCTTGATCACATCATCAGGGCATCAGATTGCATCATAACCCTCTTGGATGGCGTCATCAGGACCCTTTTGTGCTCTAATTCAAAGCTTGCATAATTCAAAGCAGCCTACACGGGAAAGGAGCCCAAATTCTACATGCAAGACTGAATTATGCATGAAGGACATGCATTTCTCATGATCACAAGCTTGCATAAGCAGAGTTACACGTATGCAAACAACTCTACAATTGCACAGCCCCTGCACAGTAAATGTAGCCCTTTAAATTACGTGAGAAATAGGCCACAAAACTCAATTATGCATGTATGATCTCATGTCCTAGGACCTTCCACCCATGCATAGCACTGCACAGCTACAGCTCCCATCCTTACACGAAACTGTAGAGCTGCTAAGAAGCTCCCTAGTGCCCTGAGGGCCTCTCATCTTCCCCTGAGCCTCCTGTAGAATATTTAAGGAGCCCTGATTCCTACCTTTTCCCCCCAGGAAATTCTAGTAGCATCAAACCAACACTTGTACCGTGTTTATTAGTGATTCAAACCACCAATAACCTTACAAACCAGCTACCTTAGACCTAAATAGATTTACTTTGCTCAGATTCAAGGCATATCTACTTATCTCTATTGCATAAAGAATTATCCCCCAGGTTAAACAATTCTGGTCCTTAAGTGTTGATACACTTATTAATCTAGATTGTTGTTAAAAGACTAATCCCAAGTGAGTTGAAGAAGTCCTCATCTTGGAAGCCTATTAATCCATACAAGAGGATTGATCTGGATGCCCAATTAAATAATTGGATGAGTCAGCAGTAGAAGTACCATTCCTCACTGACTCCTCCCTGTTTCTTTTACAGGTTGAGGGATTTAACCACGAATAAACCTTCCCACTTACCATACTTGTTAACACTCAGAGCACAACCCTTACAGGTTAGTAGCATAGAGGCTGACAGCAAGTGAAATAGTGTTTACTCAAATTTATTGGAGGTACATACTGTTTTTTATTCCTTGGGTATGTGTAAGAGCAGCGGTGGGCCGCTACGCTACGCTACGCTTTTGACCCAAAAAGCGTAGCGTAGCGGCGCTTTTTTTTCATCCAAAAACGGTAGTGTTAGCGTTTTTGTAGCGGTTTTTCGCTACGCTACGCTGCGCTACAGCGCTTTTAGCGGAAAAAGCGGCCAAAAACCGCTAAAAAGCGCTGTAGCGCAGCGTAGTGGGCCCTTTTTTGCGGCCCACACGCGTAGCGTTAGCGGTGTCGTGCCCGAATCCCGCTACGCTACGCTATAGTTGCGTGGAATTCCGCTACGTTACGCTGCGCTAACCGCTACGGTTAGCGTAGCTGGCCCAGCGTTGGTAAGAGCCTGTGGCTTTTGAATGTTTGTATGTTGGAACTATTGTGTATATGTTGCAATCAAAGCTAACTCAGAGAGCAATAAGTCATAAATATTTACTCAAAACTAATCAGGAGAAAGGATTAAAATGTAGGGGGTTGGAAAAACGACTCCCAAATTTTTGCCAACGACTCCCGTTTTGGTCGAGGGGTCGTCGGCTGGGAGTCGTTCTTCCAAAAGATGGCCGACTTTGGGAGTCGGCCATCAAATGTTTTTTTTTATTTTTTTAATTTATTTTTGGGAGTCGGCGCCCCAAACCGCCCCTCATGCTTGAGGGGGTTTGGGAGTTGTCACTCCCGCTCCCATGACCGGAAGGATTTCCTCCTTCCGGTCAAACCTTCCGGTCGAAAGATGCGCTATATCTCCGCGACAGAACGAGTTCCTTTGCGTTGTTGAAGGGTATACATTATTACGGGAAGAGGTTCAGT